AAAGAATGACAAATGTATTAGAAAATTCAATGAAATGTATGAGAAAGATTGAAAATGGCGATTTACTTGCGAGAAGAAATGCACTTCTGATATTTGGAGATTTGGGCAATCTTTTAAATACATATCAATGATCTGACTTTTTTCCCATGCATATTTCTCTTCAATTACAATATTACCATCTAAATTCAGAAAAATACAAACTACAAAAGCAACTGAAATAAATATCTCTAAAAATAAAAAACTAAAGAACCAAAATTGTTGATGTTCAACCTTTTATATTATTTACCAAGGGTTAATTTTAAAAAACTTAGTCAGAGAAAAATTAAGTGTAAAGAGTACAGAAGACACTAAAATCCTAGATTCAACATGTGTGCTAATTCAACCAAGAACCAAACGAACAAAAGATTGGTCCCCAATTGAGAATTAAGCAGCAAAAAACAAAACAAAAAGAAAAAAAAACATTTTTGTTCGTTCTCTTCCTTTTTGTTGCCCAGTACTCCGAGAACCAAAAAAGAGAGATGCTTCTTTTCCAAAATGGGTATTATAGAACTCCCTTTCCTTTTTTCTTTTTTTCTTTTTTTAGGTTTGACTTTGTTGCACACTAAAAAAATCAAAGCACATTCCCCTTTGATCGATAGTTAAGCATGACTGAGAAAGAAATGTTGAAGATGTTGTTCAACTTTTCTGAGATAGCAGACAAATGAAATGTTATAATAGATCTGTAGTACAATGCTATTCTTTCATTTAGACCTAAACAGATTAATGAAAAGATTAGCAAACACACATTCTTTTGATGACACACAAACATTTAGCCCTTCGTTATGTGTCTTCCAACTTGAAAGATCAGATAAAAACAAAAGCACAAATTCATTTCAAAATCACAGAATAATAAAACTATATCCAAACCTTAAATACTTTTAATAAGACAAAAGCACTTCCTAACTCCTCTTTCCTTCTTCAACCGGGGTAATGGAGGTTGTAAAGATATTCCTATCATGTAATTATTCATTTTTCAGGATACTTTAGTATCCTTACCTTCTCAAGATTCCTGAAAATACAACAAAAATCAATCTATTAGGTAATTAGGTGTTGTTATCTGGAATGAAAGAAATAGGTATTGTACATAATAACATATAAAAGAATTCATAAATGTACATCTTATTTATGAAAGAGATGTCTTCAATAGAAAAAAAGAATTTCCAAAAACAAAGAAAATCAAAAATAAAACATAAATCTCACATTGTAGAGAAACAATCTAAATCAGATTTTAAAAATATGAAACCAAATGATTTATAAGATAGCCAAAAAAACATACATAATTAGCATAACTACAAAAACTATATGCACAACAAAAGACAAAATGCAAAACTTCAACCTTAATGTTATGTGATACCTTGTTTATCCTTCCCAAGACCTTCCCTTTCCACCATTGGCTTCGTTTTCTGCAACATGCATCGAAATATAGGAGAAAATTAGAAATAAATGAAGAATTTGTTATCGAACCATAAACAAACACATATGCTTCCGAGGTTGTTTTTGCATCATATGACATTGTCTATAAAGATATTGCCTCAACCGTCTGAGAAATTTCAATCACTTTCAGGAAAAAAAAACTTACGAGTGACTTTAGAAGAAAACTTCAGCAGTTCAACCATTTGTAACTTTACCAGTTCAGTTTATACTGCAACTGAGAACTTATATCAAACAGCTGGTGGGCATGACTTCTCACAGATTTGATTCCTTTGTCTCTGTGTATTTCTCGCTTAAGGGTTTGAGAGCTGATGAAATGTTTTTCAACACGCCGTGTCTTGAAAAATTAAGCAACCTGATGATAGATCCTGATACAAATCGTTTGAAATTAGATCATATTTACAACTACAAAGGCATTCACGAAACACACAGCAACAATCTTGTAAAATTACAACGAAATTGAACTAAAAGAAGAAAAATTTACCTCCAATATCGTTGATTAAATGACAGAAAGGAATCCGGAAACCATCAGCTATCCACTTGATTAGGTTGTGTATGGTTGGGTGCTATCAGCTTGTATTGTCCTCCATGAATAACCAAACACTTTTGATACTCATTCTATTACCTGATCAAGATCAATTAGTCACCTGGATCTTCTGAAAGACCATATGAATAGTTTCATTCGCGCATATATGCAAATACCTGGCGTTCTGGTTCTGATCCAACTCATCGAACGACGGAATCGCGGTGTATTTCTCCGATTTACCGGACCAGATCACCTTAGGCTTGCAGTATTTTGTTGCTTCCTTGAATGGCTTGTCGCCCCACGACCCGGTCACAATGTAATCAACGGGATCTTCGGGTGTACAGATGTTGAGAGGGATGTCGGCGGATTGGGTGGTGGCGTCGCCTTGGAGGAGGAGAACGGCGTAATCTTCGGAGATATCGAGTAACTGTCTCAGATCTGACTCTGCTTTTTGGATGATGGAGAGGAATTCCTTCTCTCTGTGACTCATCTCCATAACACTCATTCCAGCTCCCCGCCAATTGTAGAGCTCCGATTCGGCTTTACGGATAACATTTTCGGGCAGCGTGGTGGGTCCAGTGGCGAAATTAAAAACCTGATCTTGAGCGGAGGCCGAAGCTGGTGGTGCAGCGACGGTGGCGGAGTATGAACATGTGATTGAGATGGGCTTGTTGGTGGGGGACTATTATACCGGTGGGAACCATCCAGAACGAAAGAGATAAAAGGGAAGGCGGTGAGGAACTATGAAAGAAACAGGGATGATCGAGATGAAGCGGTGATTATTGGAAGAAACAATGCAATCGTTATGTCATCGGTTAGGGAATGGGTGGGTTTACAGGAGATAACACGTAGCAGTCACCGACCCATATCTGTGAATTAAGTATTATATACATTAAATTCAGAAAGTAAACAAAACATAAAGAAAAAAAAATCCCACCAATCACAAAGAAAAACTGTTCATCATGCAGTTGTAAATTAGTATATATATATAAATAATAACAAGGTATATCTTATAATTATACCCTTAATACTCATTTAAATGATAAGTTATACCATCATGATTTTTTGGGATTCGAACATGAGACCCACTCCATTTTATAATGTTTAGATTTGAATGATCACTACTAATACATATTGGTGGTGGTTGTACACATTTGGCACTTTAAACATTACATAATTTCTCAAAGGCCATTTTATTTGTGTAATTTTCGAACATTATTTGTTTTTTCATATTCTTTTATAATATCTATCGTATAGGGTAGAGATTCGTATTGAAAAGATTGTGGGGAAAATTTTCTTTTGATTTTTTTGGTAATAGTTCAAGAATCTTGTGGCGTGGTCTTATTTCTATATAGGATTTGCCTGTTTTGTTAAAAAATCACTTTTATTTATAACCTAATAATTGTGGAAGGTGAATGAGTGTACTATAATTCTTTTGTTTCATTATCAATGTTTATGCTCCATTAGTTGAACTGAGCAAGAAGTTGGTATGGAATTTTATGTTATCTTTTTTTGCAAAGGCATCCAGGGGGCCTATATGGTGTTTTGGTATTTTGTTGGCATTATTATTATTATGTGTATATAAATGTATCTTTGGGCTTATATTTAAGGCTTAATCTTGCTCTAATATGCAGTGGCTCATTAGGTTATTATATTTATTATTTCAATGTGTACCAATCTAAAGCAGAGGAAAAGTGTCGTTTCATGGTATCGGAGCCAAGTTAGCACTTGGTGCATCTTCTCTCAATTCGTCATGGCTGGCGATGAACCCAAATCAGAACCTCCTAAGATTGATTTCACATCTCCTTACTACTTAGGTTCCAAAGATAATCCAAGTAACCTCATTACTCCCGTAATTTTTCGAGGAGATAACTATGAAGAGTGGTCACGATCTTTGTTAAGATTTATGGAGTCTTGAATAAATTGACAAGTTCCTAAGAGTTCAAGGGCCATAAATGAAACTTGGAAATTAAAACAATTGAATATTGAATTGGACCCACTATCAATTGTTTAATAATATTGTTGGACGGTGGCTATCAATTAAACAATTGTTTAATATTTCTTTGACTATGCATACTTTCGGTAATGAACGGCCGCAATATTATATTCACAATATGTGAATTGAAGAAAAGTTTACGGCACATCTCAATATATATATGTGCAATGTAACTCTTTGTATGTGTGCATCAATATAACTTGTAAGGTTATAAAATTGTAATCTTATTGAGTTAATAAGAAAATCTAGTTGCAGCCCGTGGACGTAGGATTTACACCGAATCCGAACCACGTAATATTCTTGTGTTCTTCTTGCTTTATTTTCTCGTTTCGTTTGTGAGTGTGTGATCGTGTGTTTCCGCTGCGTGTACCCGGTCCGATTCCTAACAACTGGTATCAGAGCCTGGTTAGCGAGGTTTTGGAGGGTACGATCGTTTTTTCTGTCACACACGAGTGTACCTAATTTTTTTTTGTTTGCCGTAATGGCTGAAGACAAGATTATAATCGAAAGGTTCAATGGTTCTGATTTTAGCTGGTGGAAAATGCAATTAGAAGCATTGCTATGTCAGAAAGACTTGGACATGGTACTCGGAGACAAACCGGAGAAAATGAAAAAGCTGCTGAAGATGCGTGGAACTCAAAGGACAAGAAAGCCAAGGCGGTTATTGCATTGTCGTTGACGAAGAGCGTTGCTTTCAACATCATGAATGAAACCACGGCGCGTGGTATGATGGAGGCTCTGTCAAATATGTATGAGAAACCATCGGCGGCTAACAAGGTGTTCTTGATGAAGGAGTTGTTCATTACAAGGATGAATGAGGAAGGCTCAGTTACGGTTCACATTAACAATCTAAATTCAATTCTGTCCAGATTATCATCTGTGGGAATTAAATTTGATAACGAGACCCAAGCATCACTGCTACTAGCTTCTCTACCTGATAGCTGGTCCGGAACAGTTACCGCTGTTACGAGTTCCGTGGGGACCAGTGGTAGGACTTTTGAAGGGGTTAGAGATTTGGTTCTAGGCGAGGATATCAGACGCATGAATCAAGGTGGATCTTCCTCTTCTGATTTATTAAATGTCGGAAGAGGTAGAGGGAATAGCAGGAATAGTGGGAGCAGTGGGAGTCGGGGAAAAAGTTCTTCTAGAACTTTGAAGAATGTGAAATGTTGGAACTGTCAAGAAGTGGGACATGTTAAGAGTCAATGTCCAAAGAAAGAATTTAACATTGCTGGTGCTGAGAGTGTGTCTGAGGATGATGCATTGATACTCAGTATGGAAAGTTCTGTAGACTCTTGGGTCATGGATTCAGGGGCTTCGTTTCACGCCATGGACAACGGGGAAACGATGGTGAATTTGAAAGAAGGAGATTTTGGAAAGGTACGTTTGGCAAATGACGAGATGCTTCAGGTAACGGGCATGGGAGATATTGATTTGGTTACTTCATTAGGAACTACATGGAGCCTGAAGGATGTCAGGGTGATTCCGGAGCTGAAGAAGAAATTGATTTCTGTTGGTCAGCTGGATAAACAAGGACTGGAAGTAAGGTTTGGTAGTGGTAAATGGAGGGTGGTCAATGGTGATCTGGTGATTGCTCGTGGTATGAAGTATGGGTCATTGTATATGGTTGAGGTACCTGCTGAGGGAAGTATGACCATCCCGATTAAGCAAAACAAAATCTGGTTCGCTAAATCTACTGCTAAGAGAGTTCATTTTGCAAACATGAATTCTGGAGCCAAGGGGATGTTAGCTGAACGAGTCAGAAATTCTAAACCATTCAGGAGATTCTGTGACAGTGGGAGGACGGGGCGTGTTCCGGGTACAGTTACAAAGAGCCGTTGGGTTTTGAAGACTAAGACTGAAAAATTTCTCTCCTGTTGGATGTTTGCTATGTTTGGAGAGTGTTAGTGGTCCTCGGTGTATCTCTAGATCCGGTGGAGTGTCCAAACCAGTTGAGACAGAGAATGAGTCGGTGGTGGGATTAGCCACGGCTGAGTTGGAGCTAATGGGAGCTTCAACTGGCCCTTCTAGTAATTGATGATGAGGGGCGGCTGCAACTAGAGAAATCAGACTAAGTTTTAGCTTGTTCATTGGAACTGGAAGCCTAAAAGGACTTGGTTGTTTTTTAAGATTACTGGAATAATTGAGAGTTGAATGGCGGAGAAAAGCTAAAGTTGTTCAAGCCTCCAAGTGGGAGATTGTTAAGATTTATGGAGTCTTGAATAAATTGACAAGTTCCTAAGAGTTCAAGGGCCATAAATGAAACTTGGAAATTAAAACAATTGAATATTGAATTGGACGCACTATCAATTGTTTAATAATATTGTTGGACGGTGGCTATCAATTAAACAATTGTTTAATATTTCTTTGACTATGCATACTTTCGGTAATGAACGGCCGCAATATTATATTCACAATATGTGAATTGAAGAAAAGTTTACGGCACATCTCAATATATATATGTGCAATGTAACTCTTTGTATGTGTGCATCAAATATAACTTGTAGAGTTATAAATTGTAATCTTATTGAGTTAATAAGAAAATCTAGTTGCAGCCCGTGGACGTAGGATTTACACCGAATCCGAACCACGTAATATTCTTGTGTTCTTCTTGCTTTATTTTCTCGTTTCGTTTGTGAGTGTGTGATAGTGTGTTTCCGCTGCGTGTACCCGGTCCGATTCCTAACAATCTTTGCCGCTTTCACTTATGGCGAGACGGAAGTTTGCCTTTCTAGATTGTACCATCGTGAAACCCATAGACGCGAAGAAGCTAGTTGATTGGAGGTGTCTCCGCCTCTCCGGGACATGCTTGTTCAGTGGATCTTAAACACCAGTTGATGGTTCAGTTAAAAAGACTCTTCCTTATTTTGAAAAAGCCAAACCCCTTTGGGATGCTTTGAGGTGACGCTTTAACATCGGTAATGCTCCATGTACACAACATATTAAAGTTGAAATGGCAGAATATCGACAGTCGAGAAACATGTTTGTGGCTGGTTATTTTGGTCTACTACAACCGTTATGAGACGAAATTGCCACATATAATCCTCTACCAGTGAGTACTTGCAATGGTTGTACATGTAATCTTGTTGGTAAATTTCAAGCTATGGTTGATGAAGATCATTTCCATTATTTTCTCTATGGTATTAATCAGGAGTTGTATGGTCATGTGAGGTCCTCTTTGTTGGCTCAAGATCTACTTCTGACCTTGGATCGGGCCTAACAAACAATTAATTCTTCAAGAAGAATGAATATGGTCTTTATCTCGAGCCAAGACAGAAAGAGATAATGTTATGGCTCTTGCAGTGAAGTGGCAGACTCCCTCTCGAGTGGTGTTGGCCGATGTTTTGATGATCAGGACAAGAGTAACTAAGTATGTCCCTATTGTGGAAAATTTGGTCATGAAGAGGTGAGTTGCTTCTCTAAGCATGGTTATCCCGAGTGGTGGGAAGCTAGGTCAAAAGGCAACGGTCGTGGGACTGGTGGAGGAGTTGGCAAAGGGAAGGCTGTAG